AGGTTGGCATTTTTGAAATCGAGGGCTCAGGGTATAGCTCCATTGGAGAGCCCTTACCCAGCATGCACAGAGCTCTGGTTAAATCTCCAGTACTTCAGAAGGAGAAAAATCTAAGAGCACTGCATAGGAAAACAGCAGCAGCTCACCTATTTCAGAAAAGCAGGCAAGTCTCTGTAGGCTTTGCTAAGACCATTGGCATCAGTCACACAAACAGATCTGGTGGACAGGCTAAGAAAGCTGCAGTTGCCAGTTCTATTTGGAATAGTCTTTTTTTTTTTTTTTTTAAGAGATATAGAGAGAGGGTCTTGCCATATAGTTCAAGCTGACCTGACACTCAGCTCCTCATGCTTCAGCATCCTAAATGATAGGACTACATGTGCTTCTATGCCCAGCTGAAATAATCTTTGAGTTGAAGAAGCCTTTCCAGTGCAACAGGAAGATGTCTGTATAGAACAGTCCTTAAAAGAGATGGTGGTTATTTTAGAACTCACTTATCTAGTACTGTTCCCTTATGTAAATTACAAGCTCTACTTTTTTTTTTTTAAATATAAGATCAAACTTTATTTTAGTTTTAGCTGGGCAGTGGTGGCACATGCCATAAATCCCAGCACTTACTTAGGAGGCAGAGGCAGGCCGATCTCTGAGTTTGAGAGCAGCCTGGTCTACAAGAGCAAGTTCCAGGACAGGCTCCAAAACTACACAAAGAGACCCTGTTCAAGAAGGGGGGGGGCAGGTGGATCCCTATGTGTTCCAGGCCAGCCTTGTCTACAGAATGAGTTCTAGGACATCCAGGACTACACAGAGAAATGCAGTCATGAAGAACAAAAGCAAGCAAACAAAAACCCAACCAAACAAATAATTTTAATGTGTATGCGTATTTTGCCTGCATGTATTTCTGTGTAGCATGTGTGTGCCTGATGCCTGCAGAGGCCAGAAGAGGGCATTAGATCCCTCTAACTGGAGTCAGTGATAGTTGTTGGCTTCCATGTGGATGCTGGTAATTAGACCTGGGTCGTCTGGAGGAGGACAGGGTTTATTTGGACTTACATCTCTGGAGGGCTAAGACTCCTTCATAGCAAGGAGAAAAGGCAGCAGGGGGCATGGTGGCTGAGGCAGCCATGTAGCAGAGAGAGGGAATTGGAAAGGGTTAAGTCCACCTCTAACAACGTAATTTCTCTATGGCGGAGAATAAGAGCAGAGTACAATAGTGTAAGTGAGGAAGAGGCAAATGTCACAACGAAGCCGTTATTATGTATTCTGACATAAATAGAAAGTTTATTCCCTGTGAACTTTATTCCTCTGAAGTTGCTCTCTAACTAGGAGGCACCATCAGATAATGCCCTCTGTGCTTTGCTGTGTTTTTCTTTACATTAGACCCTTGGCTGTGAAGCTTGACTCTGAGCTCCCAAACAGGTTTATATTAAGAGGAAGAGACACTATGAACATATGGCTGCATCCGTATGCACACCTGTATGTATATCTACACACGTATGCACATACTTAAACTTATGTGTATAAAAATGAATGTATTTACAATTTTGCAAAAAATTGTGGAGAGAAAATGTTATGTGAATAATATAAACCCAGAGACAGATATTGGGGTTCAAGCTGAAGATCAGAGAAGCAAAGCAGCCAGCCACTTGAGGGTGCTCACCTCTACCCATGCTTAGACGGAAGGGGTGATCCACCGAACCTCTCATTGCATCTCCAGACTGCACTGCTCCTGAGACTGCACTGAGCTCCTTACATTCTCTCTAGTGCTTGGGTTACAGGCTCTGTTTCTCTTTTAGACTGATTCACTCTCAGGTAGCCCAGGGTGCTCTTGAACTCACAGAGATCCATCTGCCTCTGTCTCCTGAGTCTTGGGATTAAAGGTGTGGACCCCTCTGCCCAGCTTCAATGGCTGTGGCTAGCTTTGCATTCTGATCTCCAAACAAACTTTATAGATCATAAACAATATGTCACCACAAGAAAGATTCTTTATCGATATGATCTGCTTCTTCATAGACGTACCATGAAGTAAAGAAACGCTAGGAAGTGTGTGCCATGTATCTGTGCCAGTCAGGGAACTACAGGGAGATGAGCTTCTCCCAGGAGAGGAATCGTTTTCCTGATGCTTGGCCTATCGGGGTGGGCTACTTCCATTGTTCCCATGGCATTTCCGCCAGGGACCCCAATCCCTAAAGTCCCAGTTACAGTGTTGTCACAGCCTTAGGAAATGGTAAAAGAGAAGAAAGGGAAGTAAGTGGTTTGTGAAAAAGGGTATGTAATTCAAAATACAGGATTCTATTAAAATCAGATTAATAGTTTACCCTGAAATGATGTTTACTGATTTCTTTATTTTTAAACATGAATGTATTGCTGCTACACTTGTCGAGAATTCATTTTAATAAAATCCACATAAAGATAAATAGGTAACAATCTGAAAGAAGAAAGAGAGTGCTGCTTTGTTGGGTTCATTCAATTATTTATTAAATTGCTTTAATGATCAGCAAGGGCTTCTGGTGTTTTAAAAATGTATTTAAACATTTGATTGCGTGTGTGTGCGTGTGTGCGTGTGCGTGTGTGTGTGTGTGTGTGTGTGTGTGTGTGTGTGTGTGTGTGTGTAATGGACAACCTGTAGGAGTCTGTTATCACCTTTCACCAGGGCTTGAACTCAACTCCGTTGTCAAACTTGGCATAAATGCTTTCAGGTCCACTGAGACATCTTACTGCCACTTAAAACGTATTCCAAATGAATTGTTTTCAGGCAACTCTTTTCGCTGTTATCTCTGAGATAAATTATATTATTTAGGAAGTATACAGAATTGACGTTTGAAGGATGCCTGATGTATTTGTTGTATGATTTTCAATTTAGTGCTTGAAGGAATTTCTGTGTTACTTAAGAAGAATTGACAGCCTCTTTAATTATTCATGAGCTCCCCTTCAGAATAGAAGCTAACACACATGAAAAATGGCATGTAATTTTCACATTAGTGGAAACTTGTATCTCAAAGGTGATGTATGTATAATCACTATCCAGTACTCCAGCTAAGCTATAGATTATGCTTTTATTAGAAACAAAATCAATACTCCTCAGAAAGAAGACATCCCTTTCCCCCTGTTTCTATGCACCTAGAAAATGTACTGTAGAGAGAAAACATGAAATATCAATGTACTCTGTGACAAATATTCAAGAGTATTGTGAATAAATATCACCAAAGATTTTAGGTCTAGAGAGTTATGAGAAAATTTATGTGAAAATCAGATGTAACTAAAACCAGTAAATGTAAAACTTTTTATATGCACTTGATTGTTATATTAAATAAGGTAATATGTAAAAATCTAATGCAGAGAGCAAAGAGTGGCTCAGAGCATATGCTCCTTGTCCCTGTGTGGATTCTGCTCAGCTAGAGTACTTTTTGTCCTTTGCCATTCCTGGTAGTTCATACTACTGTGTACTGGGCTTTGCCCTCAGGAGATACTGTGCCTGTGTGCCTGGGGTATGTGCTCAGTAAATAAAATCAGTAAGTGGGTGTTCCCTGGGTGGCAATTCTTCTATAAGAGATAATTGTTAAAGATTTAAAGACTGACATTCCAGCTTTCAACTTGTCCCTTAACCCCATGGGTCAAACCTTAGGAGTTGAGTACATTAGCCTACCCTAGTATGGTTAAGCCATAGGACTTTGCCACTGTTCGAGTAGTCTTGACATAAGAAAATAACTTTTCTATAATCCAGCCTAATATTTCAATTCTGACCCAAGAAGGTGTCAATATAGAAAGAACCAAAGTGGAATTACAGTAGAGGACAATAATTGTTGGGAACATACTTTGATTGCTTCATTTACTTCATGACTACTCTTGCTAGAATTCTGGCTTTCTGCTCTGGCTGCCCTTTGTATGGATTCTCCTAAACTGAATGTTTGGTTAGATGCACTCTGGCTTCAGTGGGCCAGCTGGGACACCCTGTAGTCAGAAGAGATTTTCACTGTCTTGGGCTCCATAAATCTTGGAGCATCTTCTTGATTTTGTAGCCTTCCATGCTTCCTGGCTTTTCCAGATCTCCTTCCTTGCTTAGTTAGCCAAAGTTGCAGTCTCTGCTCTCAGCTAACAGGCACTGATTTCCCAGCATTATATTGTACATTTGCAATCATTGGAAGCTTAACTGTCATGTTTTCATTCACACTCTGTATTTCTTTTTATCTGTCTCTAAGAAATACCAAGTAGCTATCTTTTTATGTTATTTTTAATTGAAAATATTTTTTTTCATACTGTATATTCTGATCAGGTTTTTTTCTCCTCCATCTACACCCAGATCCTCCCCATTTCTAGACCCTTCCAACTCAATGGCTTCTTTCTTCTTCCTTCTTTAGGAAACAAACAGGCAAATAAAACAAACAAGCCAGAATAAAACAAACCAAAGTGAAATAAAAACAACAACAAACAAACAAAGCATGAGAAACACATGCACATGTAGACACATAGCATAAGAAACACATGCACATGTAGACACATACACACAAAACTCATAGGAATACAAACCTGGACACTGGACCTCTGCTCCTCTTTCTCCTATCTCCTACCATTCTTCCCCCATGCTCCCAATTTGTTCAGGAGCTCTTGTCCCTTTCCCCTTCCCTAGGGGACCGTGTATGTCTCTGTTTCCTAGCACCCCTGGAGGTGTGGATTGTATTCTGGTAAACCTTTAACCTATGTCTAATATCCATACATGAGTGAGTACTTACCATGTTTGCCTTTCTGTGACTGGGTTACCTCACTTAGGATAGTTTCTTCTAGTTCCATCCATTTGCCCCTGAATTTCAAGATGTTATTGTTTGCTTTTTTGTTTTGTTTTTCCTGCTGAGTAGCACTCCATTGTGTACATGTACCACACTTTCTGTATCCATTCTTTGGTTGAGGGGTATCTAGGTTGCTTCTAGGTTCTGGCAATAGCCATCTCTTGAATCAGCCCTTCAATAACTGTGTGTTACAGTAGCATTTTGTGTTTTTATTTTCTTCAGAGACTGCAAAAAGAACATTTCAAGAAAAAGGCATCCTGGCGGGAGAAAGCAGAAGCTTTAAGCCTCACTTGACCTTTATGAAACTGTCAAAAGCACCCATGCTCAGGAAGAAGGTAAGTACACATTTCTATCATCATGCTTTATTTTCCCCTCGGGGCACACCAAGCTTTAGCATGTTTGGAAGCGTGACATTTTGTATTTTTTAGCACCCTAACCTTCTTGTACCTGGGACTCCAGGTCAATTCAGTTATTATCCAAGGGTGGCTGAAGATCTCAGTGTTCCTAGGAGGCTGTTACAGACCTGCCTGATTTGCTGCTGCTTCTTTTGCGATTCCTCCCAGGAGGAGCCTCTAGATGGCGCCAGTGTACAGTTATGCTACTTTCTTGCTTAGGGCTTCCGCCTCCTTCAGCTGTCAGGGCTTCCTGTGCTAGCCTCTATTCACTTCCTGCTCATTGCAGTCCACTGTTCTAGCCCAGGTTGAGGGATACTTTGGAGCTCTAGCTTTTGTAGGTCTTTCAGGGATTCCAAAAGGCAGTCTTCCGCTTCCAACAATAGCCTCCACTCAGGGGCTGTGGAGCAAGGAAGGGTACCATGGACTAGATGCTAAAGTACCCATGGGATCCCGCAACTCCACTCCACTCTATTCGCAAATACTTTTCCTTAAGGTTGGGCAATAGTGACAAGCTAAGACATATAAGTGTTTTATAACTTCCTTTTTAGCTCTGGTGAATACACACACACACACACACACACACACAAAACACACACACACAAACACACACACACACACACACACACACACACACACACACACTCACCTTGCTTTGAGTTTTCCATTTCAGTCCAGGGGTTCCTTGTGCAAATTGTCACCTGCTGGTCTCTGTTAACCAGAATTTCTGAGGTAAGCATGCGGATCCCTGATGCTCATCCCTCAGCTCCTGTTAGGGCTCTTTTGTAGCTCTGTAAATGAAGGTCATGTTTATTAGTAAGTTTTAGCATGCTCTGTTCTCAGAGTCTTTTTTTTTTTTCTTTCTTTAAAACATGGATTTGGCTGATCCATCCTGTGCTTATGAGCTTCCTACAAACTACTGTTAAAGGTGCCCTCAAAAAGATATCTTGTATTATTTTTGATAGCTATGCTAAAATTTTGCTCGTATCTACATAAGGCCTGGTTACAAAAAATATTAGGTAAGATGATTATTGTAAATGATCACTTTTGAAGCCTCGAGTAACAACCTGCAGAGCTTGTAGACTCTGTTCACTTCCTCATTCACTCATTGTCTGTCTTGTTTTGCTGTCTATGGATTGCCTTCTTCCAAGTGGTCTCCCACTTAATCCCAGAGTGACAAATCAGTGGTGACAGTAATTCCCAATATCAGCCTAAAACGGAGCACCCCATGACATTTACCATAAATGCCTAAATGCTGCAGGATCTCCATTTCAACCTTCCAGACTGTTCTTACGTGGTACTTGGTGGCACAGAACTGACTTCCTCCCCCTAAAGGAAAAGGCCATGAGACTCAGAAGGCTTTAATGCCAGGCACACATATGGTACACATACACATATGCAGACAAAACACTCATACACATGGAGTAACATATAGAAATAAAAAAAATTTAAATTGTTGCATCTTGGATATCGTATAGCAATCTATACTATACTATGCAATATACGTACTACTATATATTGCATCTTGGATATAGTATAGCAGTACTGTAGAGAGGTTCCTGTCTCAAAAAAACAAAAAAACAAAAAACAAAAAAACAAACAAACAAACAAACAAAAACCAAAAAAAAACCCCAAAACGAAAGAAAGAAATATGTTTACAATAGAGGAATGTTTAATATGATAAATCATATCAATGACTTAAGCATATGTTAAGGTATATAATATAATGACTTTATAACAGTATAAGATATAAGAAAGTAAATGAGCTTTTGAACATGTACCATAGCTTGGGCGATTGCTTTACACAGCATTCAGTGTGTCTTTTAATGCATTTTAGAGATGAAGAGTGAGCTTCCAGTGTTCTTTAGCCAGTGATTTTTCTGATGCACTTGTGAACAGAGCTGATGTTGGTATCCCTACGATGCAGTGAACTCTCCTTGGCATATCAAGCATCTCACTCCACTGCTTAGGGTTTTTCTGGGTTCCAATGAAAGATGGCCTTTGTGGGCTGCGTTTAGTAGGAGGTGGTGATGAGCATGGCAGACGGCCACGGAAAGTCAGCAAGGAGGGGAAGCTACTGGCTTGAGAGGCCTGAAGCTCCCCATTATCTTAGCGGGTGCTCACTTAGTGTCTAGGAGAAACTAATAAGGCATTATCTAAAGTTCTTTTTATTATTTATTTATGTGTATGTATACATGTAAGCACATAAATGTCATGGTGCACACATATATGGAGGTCAGAGGACAATTGACAGGAGTCCATCCTCTCCTCGTGTCACATGGGCTCCAGGTGTCAAACTCAGGTCATCAGGCTTGGCTGCAAGTGGTCTTGAGCCATCTCACCAGCCCCTGGGTCTTTTATATTTTGACTTTACATGCTAGAAGGACATCTGGAAACAATTTTAGGTGTGATATTGATGCCCCCCCCCCAAGATACTGGTGGTGCTATTGTTGGGACTGATGACTATTGTTTTGTTTGTTTGTGTTTAAAGTGATGTGCTAGGCAGAGAAGAGTTGTAGATCAGCAGAGGCAAACTTCTAAGACCGCAGGAGAGATAGACAGCCCACCTACTGCTAACTAGAGGAGCCACAGTCATAGAGGTTAGTTCTTCCTTCTTTCATCCAGTCATCATTATCTTTTAGTAACCTGAAAAACTATTATCTATGCTAAACTGAAAGAAAAAGCCAAAGTCGGAGCTGTAATAATTCGTTTAGGAAGGTAAACATCTCATTAACATTGTGGGCAGAGCCTGGTGCTGGCCGTGAGTGCTCCAGGAGTACTCCAACAGTGCTCCTCAAGAGCTATGGTAAAGATTCTCAGTGGTGGTCACTGTGGGGGATAGAAATCCCGAGGGCACTGGGGTCCTGTCTTCTGGAAGGACACCTGTTGCCAGCATACACTAAAAGTAACGGAAACCCAATGGGGTAGCTGGGAGTTCTGCGCATTAGGTTTAGAAGTTTGAAAATACAGAAACTCTTCCTTGAATCTCCTGTGCCAACAGAGCTGGGTGTGGTGAAGGACAAGAGGAGAAATTTATTCAGTGTACATGTACGTTTTGCATATTCTTAGTTTCTTGATATTGTACTGAGTATATTGATAATATTAAAATGAGTTCTTCTGATGAAAACTGTGCTGTGTAATTTTTAAAAAAATCAAATTTGGCCTGATAAATTCTGAGTAAATTACTGTCTGTGAGATAGTAAATATAGGGTGTTTGCGTTTTTCCACTGTTGTTTGACTGCTTAGTCTGTAGCTTGCTTACCTCCTTGATTTTCATAATGAATCCTGTTAGATTTATTTTTCTCATAGAATGACCTCCTGTTCTGTGATTTATACTGAAAAACCTGCAGGGTTAGAAGTGTGTGCTAACACTTGGTGGCAGAAGAAGACCAGTTTCAATCATGCAGGGCCTCTGTGTACATCTGGATCCCTCAAGAAATAAATGTAATTTCCTACTGCAGGGATCCATTGTTTTTAAAATACAAACTCATTTCTGTGCTCCTAAGTCCTTGGATTTGGGAGTTTTCTAATTTACGAGTATGGCATTTACTAATGCAGGTTTGGCTTATTTAACTGGTCCTGAGGCAGGTACCTACGAGATGTTTGCCTAAAAACCATGGAGTCCTCTTCAGCCCCACACTCTGTCTAAAGCAGAGGTTTGAAATCTGTACCCTCCTTGTGAGTCCCTGTCTCTTTTGCTCTGGCTGAGGGCACAGAGATACATTACTTTCCTTAACATTTTTTCTTGAGTCACCATGGATTTCAAGACTGCGGAGCCTTCATGGCCTAAGGTCAAAGGCACTTATCCATGGTGGCTAACCCCTTCCCCTCAAGCAGCAGAAGTTAGTATCTCAGGAGAACTACCTTGTCCTCTCAAGCAGTAAAGGCCACTCTGTAGGATGTGAACTGGGACAGTGACTGGGAAGACCACACTTTGACCAAGACCGCCTAATTATGCATGTCTCTTCCCCCCTACCAAAGTCCTCATTTATTTAAAACTAAAGCTTATGGCGGCACTCCAAGAAAGGCCTTGATTCTCTTCCCCTGTGAGCTAATTGAAGAAAGCTCTGGGCTCTTCAGTATTGCTTGTTATTCAATTAGCAGCCACTAGGGGCTTTGCCCTCAAAACTCCAATCACAGCACCTTCTTGCAGCAGCTTTGCACAGTTAGAGTGTCTGACATTAGAAGAAACGGCTTTCTTGTGGTCTGAGTTACTGCATACACTGCAGAGGATGAGGCGCATGGGGCGATGATGGGGAGAACAGTGAAGAAGGCAAAGGTTACTGGGCCAGGGAAAAGCAGAAGAGGGAACATGAGTGGAAATGAAGATGCTTTTTGAAGCTGCCAGGACGTAGAGACCCCAGTCCTTGGAGTCTTTGGTGATTCACCATACTGAACCAAGATCGTAATATGAATGTTTTATATTACACTGGCTAAACCAGACAGACACTTCCTCTACGTGCCTCCCTGCCTCCCTGCAATCCACTCAGACCATCTCTCTCTTCCTCCCACCATCACTAACCCCTCTATTTATCTCTGGCTCTGTCTTTCTCATTGCACATTTTCTCAGGATTCTGTTAGCTTGCCTGGTGTGATATGATTGTGTGTGTGTGTGTGTGTGTGTGTGTGTGCACGCACATGCTCGTGTGTGCTCGTGTGTGCTTGTGTGTGCTTGTGTGTGCGTGGGTGCATGTATTATATGTTTGTGACAGGGTTATGCAGCTAGCTTGGTTCTCTCACATTAAGTCACACATTTCAAATTATATCTGAGTATATCTCTTTGTATACTGTGAAGATTTGTCACTCAGATTGGTTTAATAAAATGCTCAATGGCAAATATCTAGGTAGGGTTTTCAGGGCAGAGATATGGAGTGTAGCCAGCCAGAGATGGAGAAAGCCGGAAAGCAACATGGGCAACAGAGTAAAGGAAATAAAGCCAGGAG